ATTCAACTGCTTCGCAAGTATATTCCGCGAGCGGAATAAATTTTCACTACTCTCATGGGAGCGGGACGTTCGCCTTGGCAGGTTAATTTATGTATCTATAGTTCGGGTCGTTCGACCCTCGGCAATGCACAGTATATTTATATGTATATTTGGACCGAGTCATACATCCTCGGCATAATTCGTGCCTAAAAATATTGGAACCCCTTTTATATTTAATATTGCTTCATGGACTTGAAAGGTGGAAGGTTTTGATGAGAGAAATGACTTGGTTCTTACTTGAAATGAAAGGATTGTTTACTTATTTTCCTGCTCTGAGTTCTATTCTCATTTATATATTATGTTTAGTTAGAACTTCATGCTATTATATTTTTGGCCAATAGTAAGTGTCGAAGTCGACCCCTCGTCACTACTTCTTCGAGGTTAGACTAGATACATACTGGTTACATGTTGTTTATGTACTCACGCTATACTTCTGCACTTGATGTGCAGGATCTGAGGCAGGTGCATCTGGTTATTAGTCCGGCGTACATGCTTGACTTCTGGTTCGAGACCACACGGTGAGCTGCCCTTCCGAGCCATTCAGCAGCAGCCGGAGTCTCTCTCTTGATTATTTTCTGTCTATTCTATTTCAGACAGTAGAGTAGAAATCTTTGTATATTCTACTAGTAGCCCACATACTTGTGACACCAGATCTTGGCACACACAAGTAGACTTGTGATTTTGGCTTTATTTCTATGGTCATAAGTACATTTGGTTGCTTTCGTTTTATTAAATTTAAATTCGTTTCTTACCAAACCTATTAAATTAAGGAAAGTTATTTACTTGAGAAAAACTTATAAGAATGGAAACTCACTAGGTTGTTCACTGTTGGCTTGCCTAGTAATGGTATTGGGCGCCATCACAGCCAAAAAATGAAATTGGGTCGTGACACTTATTGTGGTGCTTTATCATAAATTACATCGTCTGATTTGTTCTGTCAAAGGCCTGTGGTGGTTTAATGGTTGAACATCCTACATTGATACTGTGGTTCGTCTATCTCTCATATATATATAACTGTGCTGAGGGGTGCTATATGGTTATCCCCGAGCTTTAACAAATTATATAATCCTTTCATTTTCTCATACTTTTTGGGACTGAGGCGTAGCAGTTGTTATTGTTTATTTGTTTGATTTGCTCATTATTCATGTGAACAGAATTGCCTCCATGATCAAAGTCCAATCGGTATTTGGCTGCTCTTCATCATTACCAAGATAATGATCTGCTTAAAAGGAAAATTATTGTATTTATATCACACTCCCATCTTTCAGTTTCTAATTTGTGTAGTTAAATGATTATCTTAATAGAAAGTGATCAAGGCACGGTTTCACACTTTAACTAGCTCTACTCTTAAAAGTTGCAAAAAGACCTATGCGTGGTGTAGGCCAGATCAATGATGATTTATAATCTGAAGCCAGATCAACTATGATTTATAATATGAAGTTACTTATCAACTATGATTTATAATATAAAGTTACTTAACTCTTTATGTTATCGACTTGATGGATATTAGAAGAGCTACTGGAAAGTTTTGAAATATCACATTTGAACGTTTATGTTGTTATATTTTCAAAGAATGATAAGAAGGAACTTTTGAATATTATATGTGAGTTAAGTGAATGAATCAAGATCTGAATAAGTATCTTTGTGTAGTTAAGGTTTTTGTATCTACTTGTGTTTGTGAAACTTCAAACGTCTGATATATATTTTATGAATGAGATATTGAAGTCACCCCTGTAAAATGGAAAAACAGGAATCAATACTCCAGCTTTTAAGCCACATCATCCCAGTTTAGAACCTGGGAAAAAGGTTCCTAAAGTGCACGATTAGAAACCATGTTAGTTTTTAGTTTGAGATGGCTCCCTTTTAAATTTAGCATCCTTGATCATATTTCTGTATTTATGTAGTAAATTTACCATACTTCCATAGAATTCAAATGAGCAAATAATTACGAGCAATATATTTTATTTTTGATAATGATAATTAAGAGCAATATTATCATGCTAATATACTTTTTTAACTATCCGCGTATCGTGCAGGTTCTAATACTAGTGATTACATTATGATTATTCACTAGCTACTATGAATATTCAAAAATAAAAACCAAACTACTTAGTCATCTTTAACCACGGATCTATCACCGATCAAGTGGTCTATTTTTTCATCAGTGTGCTCAAAGAAGTCTGCGACATCCAAATGGGATGTCAAATTCATTGTCAGAGACAAAATTAGCTCCAGGGCCTTTATTCTTTAGAGATGGTTGATAAATCTCAACCAAATATCTTGGTGTGCGATAAATATTTGCCCAATGTCCTTTTCCACCGCAACGATAGCATTCAGTTTCTGAACCCTTTGCTTTTGACTTTTTATCTTTTCCTTTCCACTTTTGGTGAATATTTTTCTTTGGGGGATGATTAACACCTGAAAAATTTCTTCCTTGGCCACGGCCATGAAAAAGGCCACGACCTTTTTCACGCTTAGCATAATGGGAATAAACCGCATTCACTTCAGGCAATGGTGTAGACCCAATGGGTCAATTATCGTGATTTTTCATGAGCAAGTCATTGAGTCGTTCAGCCACAAGGAGAAGAGGAATCAACTCAGAGTACTTCTTGAAACCTTTCTCTCGGTGCTGCTATTGCAGGGCTATATTGGAGGTATAAAAAATTGTGAACATTTTATTTCAAGCATATCATAGTCAGTGATACTATCTCCATAGAGTTTCAATTAAGAAGTAATTCTGAATCGTCGAATTGTATTCAGAAATAGACTTAAAGTCTTGGAGCCTCAGATGAGCCCAATCATATCATAGTTGTGGAAGTGTGACCAACTTTAGGTTATCATATCTTTCCTTTATGAGCAACAAGCTCCACAAGTGCCTACCTCCCAAGTGAAGCTACCGGTGGCTCCTCTGTCGTAGCTCGTGCAGCTGCTCTGGCTACACTACATGCCCCTCCTTGTCCTCTCCCGGACCCTGACCGCGGCCCCATCCCCGGCCTCTCGCGGCTCTATCAGGGGGCACAATATCTGACTGTGAGATATTCTATTTTCAACCCTTCATCAAGGTGATGGCACAAGAAAATCAAGGCATTATAACAGTCTTGGGTAGACGCTTTATTTTTATCTTTAATGCCGTCTCCAAGACCCATTGCAACTAAATGGATTTCAGCATCCAACACTTATGACATATAGTTCTTGCCCAAAATTTCAAGGGCAACAAACTTTCGTTTCATAATATCAGTCATAGTTAAAATAGGAGAAAAATTATACCTTAGTCTTCTCAAAGAGGTTTTTGAAACGGTAGAGTCTCGTGCTAATAACGTGAAATAAAATAATTAAAAAAAAGAATATTGCAAAGAAAAAAAGGGAGAATTCTATTGATTTTGAGATAAATTACAATGGGATAAAACTCCTCTATTTATAGAGAAAAATGACTTAGTCATAAAATAACAAACTCTATAAAAGATAAACATTCATATAGAATACAATTCTATTTATAATAATAATTAACTTTTATGAAATTTATAAATTTAAGTAACCATATTTTCTTACTTTTTATAACATGTGTTGTTGAAATACCTTAAATTCCTACCAGGTTGGCAAAAATTTATGTTATATTTACTCTACTTATATTGTTCAGTTGTTCACAAATCCTAACAGATTGATATGGCTTTTTAATTATTCACCAAACTCTACCATATTGGCATAACTTTGTGTTTTTTACATTCCATTTATTTGAGAAATTATTTATAAATTATACATAACGGGCATGACCTTTGTACTTGTTCAACCTTTTCTACATAAAATCTCATAAGATTGGTATGACTTTGTGTTATATTCATTCTATCAGTCTTGTTAAATTGTTTGGAAATTCTACTATATTGTCATGTTTTCAAAGTTTCACTCATGATGACTAACAAGGGTTGTGGCGAAATGGTAAGTACTCCTTCATCCTGAACTAGAGGTCTCGTGTTCGAGATCTGGATATGGAGTCGCCTTTGTTAGGAAGCGCTTTATTCCCCCCCCCCCAATGTGGGACTTTCCAGCATAAATTCTATTTTAATCGGCCACCAATGCGGCTACCGGATACCGAGTGAAAAATCAAAAAATAAAAAGTTTCACTTATGATGCACCTCTTTTATGACTTCAAAGCTACAAAAAAATAAAATACATTTCAAAACAACGACATACAAGTCATGAAAAATCGGTAGGGCTTCATGTTATATTCAACTTAACTATTATGTTGGAAATTACAAATTCTACTAAATTTGCATGACTTTATGCTTGTTCAATTGTTTATCAAACTCTACCATATTAGCATACCTCTGTGTTATTTACATTCGACCTATTATATGTTGGAATGAGATCTTATGTTACAGATACTACGTTTACAGAAGAGAAGGAAATGGGTGAAAAGAACAAGGAACGAGAACTATACTTTGGTTGTAATGACCAAAGTCTTTTATCCCTTTCTACAACAAGAGATCCTGGTCGTTCATCATTATCAAAGCCTTCAGGTCACAGCCCTTGATTTAATACAGCTATAACACTTAAAGACTCTTTCTAGATATTTCCTCATACTTGTGAGTATGTGAAGGAAAATGCATTTTCTTTATTCTTTTGTATATTCTGATTAGTTAGTTAGAATAGTACAAATTAGAGTAGTACACATAGCCTAGCATAACAGATTTAGATTCTTTCTTCTTGTACAAAAATATACACAACTGTTAATAAAATCACACCAAAAATTTCCACAATACTGGATTCTTCCAATTCCTACATGGTATCAGAGCAATAAGCTCGATCCTTCAGTTCTTCATCTCTACTTCTTTTCATTTTTTTCTGTGTCAATTCTCAATCATGTCAGATAACACTAAGACTAGCTTGGTTCAGCGTGCTTCTGGTGGATCTACAACAATTGATTCAAATCATGCTTACTTTCTCCATTCATCTGATGTACCAGTATGACCCTTGTCAATACTGCCTTTGATGGCAAGGGGTTTCAAGCGTGGAGAAGATCGGTGCTGATAGCACTTTCAGCAAAGAACAAAATAGGATTTATCAATGGAGCTTGTCCTCCACCTGATGTCACTTCTAAGGAATATCAGCCATGGAGTAGATGCAACAACATGGTGACTTCATGGTTTCTCAACTCATTGTCCAAAGATATTGGGGATAGTGTGATTTACTCAAAATCAGCCAAGGATCTCTGGACTAGCTTGGAACACAGATTTGGACAATCCAATGGAGCTAAACTTTATCACCTGAGAAAGGAATTATCAGGGTTAATATAGGGAACAAATGATGTAGCAACTTAATTCACAAAGCTCAAACGATTGTGGGATGAATTAGACTCACTCAACTATGATGTAAAATACAATTGTCTTTGTGTTTGTGAAGGAAAATAGAAATTAGAGAAATTATTAGATAGTGAGAGGCTAATTCAATTTCTAATGGGACTAAATGATGGGTATGGACAGGCAAGAGGAACCATTTTGATGATGAATCCTCTACCAAACATCAATCGTGCTTACTCACTTATTTTGCAAGATGAGAATAAAAGAGAAGTTTATGCTAAGCCTCTTATTTCTACTGATTCTTCCTCTTTCATGGTAGGAAATAAAAACAACTTGCTCGGTATGCAAATATTTCACAAAAGAATGGGAAGCAAACACAGTTGAACCTATGGTCAGTACCAAAAACTTGGAAACAATTTTCAGAAGACAACAAACACATCTCTAAAAAGCTCAACTTTCAAAGGAAAAAAAATCAAATTCAACCCAAATGTGTCTTGTACCCACTGCAAGAAAGTAGGTCACACTGTGAGTGACTACTACAAAATCATAGGTTTTCCAGAAGACTTTAAATTCACTAAAGGAAATCAAATGCAAGTGAGGAGCAATAGTGCTTTCTCAATGGAACATGGAGATGACAATAACAATAATTATAATGACACCACTAACCAGCACCTTTCAAAGGATCAATTCAGCCAACTAGTCCAACTGATCAAATAAGTTAAAGTGGCAGATTGTGGTACAAAGATCAATGCAAATGCAGTGACTGGTACTATTAATAAGTATTCTAGTTCATGTTTTTCAGTTTATAATTTTAGTACATGGATATGCTTTTATATCCTTGTCACCACTTCCTGTCCCTTTACATATAAATCTACCAAATTCTTTTAGAGTTACTGTCACTCACATAGGCAGGATATCTATTCTTCCTGGCTTCATCTTAGAAAATGTGTTACATATACCTAGTTTCAGCTATAATTTACTATCTGTTAATATGTTTTGTTTTTAATTTCACTCTATTCTCTTTTTCACTTCTGATAAATGTATGTTGCAAGCCCTTTAATGAATAGGGCTCAAGTTTTTGGTGATGCAATGGAAGGATTGCATCTCTTGGAGCCTAGTGGAGTTAGGACTTCTTTAGAAGAAAAAGTCATTTCATCTTTCAATCAAAATATTTTTAGTCAGTTTTCAGCATTGTTTCCTTTTTCTGCAAGTGTAATTTCTGATGTAAACCTTTGGCATATTAGATTGGGGTATTTGCCTTTTTCATCAATGAAGTATCTTAGTTTTATTTCATTTTCTTCCAATTTTGAATACTTCTGTGATATATCTCCTAAGGCTAGACAAACTAGAACCCCTTTTCCTTTGAGTCATATTAAATAAAAAAAGGGAATTTGAATTAATTCATGTTGACACATGTGGGCCTTACAAGGTACCAACTTACAATGGATTCAAATATTTTTTAACTATAGTGAATGATTATAGCAGATAGGCTTGGACTTTTCTAATAACTAGCAAAAGCAATGCATTTGCAGTTTTGAAGAATATTTTAGTAATGGTGGAAAGGCAGTTTGAAGTGAAAGTACAGAAACTTAGGATTGAAAATGCCTTTGAGCTTGGAACAGGGTTCCAAGAGGCTGCTTATCTTAACTCTCAAGGCATACTGCATCAAACATCTTGTGTGGCTACCCCTCAACAAAATGGAATAGTTGAGAGGAAGCACAAGCATCTTTTGGAGATTGCCAGAGCCTTATTGTTTTAAACTAAACTTCACATTCCTTATTAGGGAGAATGCTTGCTAACAGCTATATTTTTAATCAAATGTTTACCTTCCAAAGTGCTTAAAGGAAATCACCTTACTTTGTTTTACACAAATAGATGCCTACTTATGAATCACTAAGGAGTTTTGGATGTCCTTACTATGCATCTACTCTATATAGTGGAAGAGGTAAATTTGAGCTAAGGGTAAAAGCATGTGTATTTTTGGGTTATCCTATGGGCCGAAAGGGATAAAAAGTCATGGATTTAGAGACCAAGAAGATCTCGGTCTCAAGAGATGCTCACTTTCATGAGGATCAGTACCCCTTTGCCTCTCTCAACCATTCTCTAGAACTGATCTTTCCTATTCCCATGACCAATGACACTTCTGTCACCTCTATACCAATTTCTGTGTCACGACCCAAAAATCACACGTATCGTGATGGCGCCTATCTCAATACTAGGCTAGCCGACAATATCAATAACCCACATTTTTCTTTAAGTTTGAAAAACATAATATTGAATTTCATAGAAAATCTCACAATTTCTAACATAGAAATATACTCCCAAAACCCGGTGTCACTGAGTACATGAGCATCTAAATGAATACAAAGCATGACTGATTAAAAACACTGTCTGAAAATATAGAACAATACAATATCTAACAGCCGCCGTGTCCGGAAGCACCTGGATCTGCACACGAGGTGCAGAGTGTAGAATGAGTACAACCAACTCAATAAGTAGCAAGACTGCCTTTGGGCTGAAAGTAGTGACGAGCTCAACAGGTACAGTCTAGTGTAAAAATAATAGTACATTAATGTAGGCATGCTTTCAAGTTTAGCAGTTAAACTCAGTACAATTAAAATAGATCAATTCTGAATGATATGAGGTTTATGACATCTCTATGTCTATATGCCAATGTGCATACTGTATATGATGCACCTCAATGAAAACCTCGTGTACTCAAATCTCAAAATGTTCAATCACTCAGTACTGTATATGGCCAATCCATCCCAGGGAAGATCCATACTATATATATATATATATATATATATATATATATATATATTCGGGGATTTTCCCTGGATATGGATCTTGTCTGAATCATTGATATTCGGGGATGGAATTTTCCTGGGCATGGATCTTGCCCAAAGCATTGATATTGAGGGATGAATTTTCCCTGGATATGGATCTTGTCTGTGCTCACTGTGCGGGGGTGCAGACTCCGGAAGGGCTCCTTCAGCCCAAACGCTATAATAGCCAAATCCAGGCATAAATAAATAAACGTAAATATCACTCAGAATCTCCAGTCTCTCGGGATCTCAATGACATGAAAAATCAACCTGACATGATGATATGAAGTATCAATGAATGACAACAGAGACTGAGATATGATATGCAAGTGATAGATGTGACTGAGTACAAAATTATAAATTTAAACAAATAATTCAACAACAATACGACCCATGTGGGTCCCAAAATATATCGGCGTGTAGCCTAACATGATCTTTAATATGAGTCTTAGCTCAATTTCTCTAACACGTGGAGGATATGCGGATAATGACATTTATTTAATTATGCAACTCCATGGAATCAATTAAGTCACAATTCCTATGATGCACGCCTACACGCCCGTCACCTAGCATGTGCGTCATCTCCAAACAATTCATACAACACGTATTTCAGGGATTCATACCCTCAGAACCAAGTTTAGAAGTGTTACTTACCTCAAACCGTGTAATTCTTTACTCCGCTATGACTTTGCCTCGCGAATTGGTCTCTGAAAGCCTCGTATCTAGCCACAATTAATTTGATTCAGTCAATACAGATTATTAGAATTAATTCCATATGAAAATACCAATTTTCAAACAAAAACCGAAATTGCACTCCAAAAATTGCATGTAGGGCCCACGTCTTGGAACCCGACAAAAATTACAAAATCCCAAAGCCCATTCAACCACGAGTATAACCATACCAATTTTACCAAATTCTGACAATGAATCGACCTCCAAATCCTCAATTTAAGGTATAGATAATTTCTACCTTTTTCAACCAAATTCACTTATTTCATGACAAAAACAACAATAGATTCGTGTATTTAAACCAAAATCGAGTTAGGAATTCTTACCCCAATATTTTCCTTGAAAAACTCTCGAAACATCGCCTTACTAGAGCTTTCTTGGTCCAAAAATGGAAGAATGAGACGAATTTGGACTTTATTCTGCTGCCCAGGGGTTTGTTCTTCGCGTTCACGACCCACCCCTCGCGTTCGCGACCCACCCCTTGCGTTCACGATGAACAAATTCCTCAACCGCTATTTCCAAATCCTTCCCAGACAGCCTGTAGTGTATCCACTATAACGTATGTGCCCAACTCCAAATAACAAATGGTTTAACTTTCTGAAAACTAGATACCAAGGGCTATAACTTTTATTTATTTCTCATCTCCCAATTCCTTATAGATTGCAAGATATAAGCTTCCAAAGTCAGCCTTGTTTAGCAGAAATTTCCAAACTCTTCCTAGAGAGCTTGTAGTGTATCCACCATAACCTTTTGTACACAACTCCAAATGATAAATGGTTTACCTTTCTGAATACTAGACACAAAAGGCTAAAACTTTTAATTAGATCAGCTCCAAATTCCTTATAGATTGCGAGATATGAGCCTCCAAAGTCAAACATGTGCAATAGATATTTCTTTCTTCGCGAACGCGAGAGTCTCTTCGCAAACGCGAAGAACAAAATCACAGAAGCCAAATCCTTCTTCGCGAACGCGAGAGGCTCCTGGCGAACGCGAAGAACAACACCAGACATCAGAAAATCAGCATCCAAAGTAACCCAAAATGATCCAAAACACACCCGAGGCCCCCCGGGACTCCAACCAAATATACCAACAAGTCCTAACATATCATACGACCTAAGTCGAAACCTCAAATCACATCAAACAACGCTAAAACCATGAATCATACCCCAATTCAAGCTTAATGAAACTAAAAAAAATTTAACTTCTATATTCGACGCCGAAACCTATCAAATCAAGTCTGATTGACGTCAAATTTTGCACACAAGTCATAAATGACATAACAGAGCTATGAAAATTTCCAGAACTGGATTCCGACTCCGATATCAAAAAGTCAACTCCCCGGTCAAACTTCCAAACTTAAATTTCTATTTTAGCCATTTCAAGCCTAATTCAGCTACGGGCTTCTAGATAATTTTTCGGACACGCTCCTAAGTCTTAAAT